TCTCTCTCTCTCTCTCTCTCTCTCTCTCTCTCTCTCTCTCTCTCTGAGTGTGTGTGTTTTCTTGTCGATGTGTGTTGACTTCATTTAATAGTTTCATTCAAATGTGTATTGGTTAATGTGGAAAGTCATCGTTGTCGTTGGTTGGTTTCGTTTCACTGAATAATTTAACAATAGCCAAATTTAACTTACCGATAACAACACCATCGACACTCGGGCCAAATGCATTACCAAAATCGGGCTGATGTATTGGCGTTGATAGTAATTCATCGAGCGGCTTATCACGCAAGCATTTCATCAGTTGCGAGTAGGCTAGTTCCGGCGAACAGTTAACATGATGTGAAATAATGGCAGCATACTTAGCCGGATCGCTTACCATCGACCATGGCGCTAGGCCAGATCCCGATAGTAGCATTGCACGATGAAATAATAATCCTGTTGAACGAAACATTGAGGAAAAAAAAGAAAAGAAAATGAGAATATGATGAATAATTTTGATAGCTCATGAGTATCAAAACTCTAAATTTGTTTATTGAAATGTGTGGGGTATGTAAACTGCACAGGATCAAACAAATAACCAAAGTTAACCTCGATCCAAGCGGTATTCCGCAAAAGTTGCACTTTTCTGCTCCGCTTGTTTTATGCTAATTCATTCCGCCTCTTTAGATTGCTCTATCTCTTTCGACACAAGCACACCGATTTTTCAATCTATTTACATTTCATACAACATGTAATTTCAACAAACACTTTGTTTGTCATCCATTGATCGAATACTAACGGAAATTGATCAACGTTTTGCTATCCTCATCTTCTTTCAATCGATTCGCTCAATGAAACTGGATACCAAAATGACCCTTTCAAATTAATTAAATCCCTTTGTTGATTTTTTCAATTTCATTAGAAACTCTCTCGACATTCTTGTTAGCAAAGGTTCAAAAAGCAAAGATCATTCAGAGTTCATATTACATTAAAACCGAGAATATAAGCCAGAATTGCATTTGCGAACATTTTTTTATTTGTCGACTCTGTACACATCACATGGCACAGCAAAAACTCAACACAAATCCCGTGGAAAACAAACAATATGGATTGCATTGTGCAATGCAATTCTGTTTAATTTTCGTCGCCGCTTCAGTTTGTCGGCAACGGTCAGAGCAGCATGAACTAGCGCACCATATAATGGCGTTGGAAAAACAAAACTTGATGACGATAAACAACATATCGTGCACTCCAAGAACCATGCACATACGCGTAAAATGCATATTTAATTTTTATCTTTGGCCATTATATAGATATATATTTTTTTTTTTCTTTCATTTTCGTTCGTTCTCTCGGCCAACGTCTGCTCATAATATGAACCTTGTGCACAATGCAGCGACACCATAAAACATACGTTGACGCAGATTTCATACACAGAAACAACAACAAATACAAACATTGTAACTGAAAATTAAAAATAAATAAATAAACAAGCGAAGCATGAGATTCATTGTCCTTGGGTTTTCTACACGGTCATTCATTGTCAAATGAGTTTTCATATTTCGCTTTTTTTCTGTGCTTTTTTTTATTGCTCATTCCATTTCTCTCTCTCTTGCTCACTTTTTTTTCTGGCTTTTGTTTCGGGTGTGGTTTGGATCTTTTGAATGTATTTTCTAACGCTTCAGAATATGGAATCCTGTATGAGTGGATTTTTCATACAAAATAATTTGTTTGTTGTTTATGGAAGCCCATATGTTTTTCTCTATGTCTCGCTTCGAATTGAGGAAAAAAAGTGTCACTGCAAAAAAATGAAATGAAGCAAAGAATATCGCTCTACGTGAAATGATTAAACCCATTAAAATATCTCTGAATATGATTTTTTTTATTCGCACAAATACAATGTGCGTGTTGTTGTTGGTACAAGTGTAGATGTCAGTTCTGTGTTTGTTCGTTGAGCTTTCCGGTAATTTTATGCTCTTTCTCTCTCTCTCTTACCTATCCCTCTATCTATCTTGTATCACATATGCTCCGGTTAGTTATATGACTCATGCAACATGAATCGTATGGTTTGAAGGTATAAACGACGAAAACAAACAGAAAAACGTCGGAGGAAAAAATGTAAAAATGTAATGATAATAATAAAATCGCTATCACATCCGACAAAAGTACGTGACAGGATACGAACGCTTCGAAGGCAAAGCAAACTATAAATATGCATATATGTGTTAAAAGGGGCAGGCCTCAAGCTGAGGCGTTAAAAACTCGCAATCTGCAACACATTGCCGGAAAATCGAAATGAAAACCCAATGATAATAACAAGGAATAAAAAAAACGACTACAAAAAAACCGAGAAGCAAATATTTCTTGTATTTTTATTTATAACTCACCGCTTGGCAATGAATAAAATAAAGGAATGCAAAGCAAAAAACACCCTTCAATGCCAAAAAAAGATCCAAATAAACAAATGAACGAAAAGAAAACATGTTTCTTCGCATCCACATGATAATATATTCAAATGTTGAATGAAATGAGAAAAAAAAACCAAAAATAAATGAGAATAAAAAATTGTTTTGCTATAAGGAAATTCATAAATCACACAAGCCCAACTGAAGCACAGGCTAAAATATGCGAACGAGATAATTTGAACGCAAAAATAAGTATGCTGGCCATATATACATTAAACACACAAAAATTCCTGCTTTTTTGGATGGAATCTTAGATTTGTGCGCAGCTCTCATTACTAAATTTTTTGGGCTTTGGAAAAAATAAATTACAAAATGCAAATTTTGGTGGCAATGAACGGCAGCAAAAAAATGGCTACCGAAAAAAAGCTACTTTTTTCTACAATTTCAAGCCATTCACGTTTCATGTATGCCTTCCTTCCGTTTGTACTTTCCGCTTCGGCTCCGGCCATTTTGTACTCCGGCACCCCTTTTTTCGTATACCATTCTATAATTCATAAATTGTAGACGTTTCATGCCAAACAAATAAATTAATTTTTGTTATCCATTTTCAATTGAGCCGCAACGGGCATACATAGTACAATGTACAATTGTAAACGTGTTTTGGTAAATATATTCTTGTGTGTGTATGCGGTGAATGAATGCATAAAAATTGAAATCAATTTGAATGGCGCAATGAACGAAATAAAAAATAAATGCTTAATAAATTCGATTTCCGTTTCATTAATTTATTACCGATTCAGTGTTGTTATTGCAAAAGCCGTAGCCGGCAACACTGGTTTCCGGCACAGCAATTGTTAGGATTTATTGAATTTCATTTACATACTCGCACGCCTGAAATGCAGACGATGCATCAAACACTTGAAAACCAAAATACACACATACATGCGATGCGATTGAAAGACGGAAAACGAGTGTTGAATCATGAACAAAAAAAATTCCACCCACTCATTTGATACACTATGTGCATAAATACGTATTTTATATACAATCAGTTTTTTGAATGCAGTAAAATGCGATTAACTATGTTACTTTCATTGGCGCTGACATTACCAGATAGGTGCTTATCCAAATTAATTTCGAAATTGCATCCTATGTCTGAGTTGTGTGTATTCATTTACATGCACCGGAAATTCACCATTGAATTCATTTCTATGGTAAATGCAAAATTATTATTGCCGTTAACTGTTAATGGTTAACATTTGATGAAATCCACATTTTTTTCTGGCTCTAGACTTTTTTGAAATTTAATATAATTACAAATTGAGAATAATACCAGTAGGGAATTATAATTCAATATTTATCGAACTCATATTTTAGTTCTAGAAAGTAAATCCAAACTCTTAATTAATTAAATATTTCCATTAACTGTCAAAAAATACATAAAATCTCGCTTGAATAAATAATGAATATGAAAAGAATAAAAATGTCGGTTTTGATTTTGCGGGCTTTTGTGTTGACAACGTCGATTGTATTTCAACCAAATATGAGCGCGTATTTTATGTTAACCAACGTCAAATCTGGTAGTATTCGTGTTAATTTTTGATTACATTATAGCAACCAAAATTCATGAATTTCGGAGAAATAGGCAACATATTCAACTATATGTAGATGGAAAGATTGATATTTTTGTTCCAAATAATTCATTTGGGAATGATAATGTGTGACAAGAGTAGATTGTTTGAGGTGCTTGATGCACATATATCCAAATAAAGTCGATTTATACCACATCATTTAAAATAAATGCATGAATGTTTTCTATTTATTTAAATGTTGGTGATCAGCAGTTGCAACTAAATGAGTTAGGACTAAAATGACCTGTAATCTCAGTTGACAATAAAACAGCAACATGATTTTTTTTATTTAGAGTTTAGCATGGAGTTTAGCTATATAAATAAAATTTCATGTTTTATTGTCAATCGAGACTGCACGTTACTTAAATCCTAACCCATTCAATTTATTTGAATTTTGGTTAACATTCATTCGCATTAAATTTTATTCATGAATTAACGTTGAACCTCAAACAGAAGAATAACCAACATTTTCAATGTCCATGCTCCCACTTGGCACACATGTAAATGTTGCAGTGCAACGCGTTTTTATTCACTTTACCAGAGACTGTATCACAAAGCAATATATGTGAGAATTAGCGCTCTGAAGAGCACGAGTAGAGCTCGTATTTGGTGAGGAAAAAAATATGAAAAATTATGTTCAAAATCATAATATCACAGACAATATATTTAGCTGCCGTCATCTGGATATTTCAGCTCATCTGGATGCCGTCAGCAGATGATGCGACGTGAAAACAATAGAAGTGATTGTTATAGTAATACCAGTATATAACAAGCTTATATACCTATAACAATCACTTCTATTGTTTTCAGACAATATATTGAACTAACTGATCATTTGAACTGACAGTACGTTAGCCAGCTAAATGGACTAAAACAATAGAAGTTATTGTTATAATGAACAATCACGTCTATTAAAACAAGAAAAGTGATTCATCATTAAAACAATAACGTCTATTGTTTTAGCCCATTTAGCTGGCTAACCACTGTCAGCTCAACTGACCAGTTAATTCAATATATTGTCTGATTGTTTTCACTTCGTATCATCTGCTGACGATATCCAGATGAGCTGTAATATCCATATGACGACAGCTAAATATATTGTCTGTAATATGATCAATGTTTATTATTTTCTAACTTTTAAAACTCTGCTTCTCAGTTCTCCTTAGGCTCCTATTGCTCTGAACAGTCAATACAGTCTCTGGACTTAAAGTAGATAGAAGAAACACAAAATGGATGAATTCAGCGCATATATGCTAAATAAATTCATTGTATCGAAATACCTAAAATGCAATTGGATATATGAAACATAAACGTGTGAGTATCAAAAATTATTTTAAAAAACAGGCACAATTTTGACACATGTGTTCAGTTTAAATAAAGTCTTAGGTAAAATGGAACGTATCACTTTTAACACCTCAAA